GCAACGGGAAGCAGTCCGCATCCATCCAGATGATCTCCTCGAACGACGAAAAGAGAATTGCAAAGACCTTGAGTTGGTAATGCGCGATAGGGTTCTTCCCTACGACTTCCGAAAGGACGACGCACTTTGCACCTAGATCGGGAAGCACGCCATCACAGATCTTCTTCTCATATTCGGTTGCATCCTTCATGTATAGTTCTACCGGTAAGGTAGAGCCTGTACGGCGCAGCATCCGTAACGACGACAGAAACACCGGAAGGTATGAATTCCCCGCAGTCGAAACCAAGCCGCGCGTTCCAGCAGTGTGGGGTGAGCGCAACTTTTTCGATATTCGGATATCGCGAACATAATTCGCATGCGCTTCTTCCATCGCCTTTCGATCGTCGTCTTTCAGGAGGGTTAAATCGGGTCGCGCATCGGTTGAGGTGGCATTGAAATGGATCGCAGGAACATCGGCTCGGGCAACTGGTGATGGACAGTTTGGCGCATTCTTTTCTAGGATGGGCTTGAGGGCTTTCCAAAAGGCGATCTGACGTTCGGTGAGAGGGACTTCGAATGCGGTGCTGGGGACCACGGATGCTGGTGCCGGGGTCCAGTACAGATAAAAGGTCGAGATGAGAAAAATGGCGCCTGTGGCAAGGAGGAGTGACCTCAATCGGCCGAACCGGAATGTTGCCATGGTTGCGGTTCGTCAGTCAGCCGTTTTGAAGAGAAGTTTTGACGACCGTAAGTGAACGTTTTCAAGAAGCGTTGCAGACATAGAGTCGTCGAGGTTTGATTGACTCTAGGTTGGGTGCCAACTGACAACACCGGTGGTAACTACCGACCAGATCAGGGTAATACGAGCATTTTAGATGGACAATGGAGGATTCCAGCCAGTATCTGTAGCGTTCAAGGATAGAAACAGAATGAGAAACCTCAAGCTGAGGACTTTCTGCAATCGACAATAATCTGGTCCATTATCCCCCGTAGCTGCCCCCTTTTTCAGGTTAGTGCTGTCCTAAGAAAAGCAGCCAAGACTTTTAGTCAACCGAAGATCACCTGTTTATTTTATGCACATAACATTATTTCTTCTCAACAATTAATACATTACATGCCTGTGCCAAGAACACAGGGTCTCCTCTTCTAATATTCAAATCTAATGATATTGCTAGATTTCTTCTGTAAAACACAGACTTGGAACCATGCTGTCGATTAATGACATTCTGCAATCAATGTCCATCATCATCCACATTCGTAGGCCAAGATGTCGTCCGAGTCATCTTCGACAGAATTGTGCGCTGCAGCCAGCTCCACCTTGTCGTGGAGGGCGAGACAGGCATCAATGTCTGCCAAAAGAGACTCGTCGAGCGAAACTGAAGGGTAGACTCTCCAAATCTGTTGGAATGCCATGACCGTATAGGGAGACCGGAACTCTAGAAGTGTGCTCCGCACACTTTGCCTGTATAATAACGACCGCTATTCAGCAATTGCATCCTTGTATGGAACCTTGGTTGATATATGAGCTCTTGACTGGCTGATTCCCGCAATAGAGTCTGCAACGGAACGTGCAGCAGAGTCATGGCGGTGTTGGGGATTACAAGGAATGGCTCAAGCGGCCTCTTTCTCGGCTGGTTCAATCTCGCGAAGTACTTTGGAAGTCGAGAGACAGTTGCGGCAGACCATAGCATTAATTAGGGTCCGCTGTAGCAGTATCTTGTGCGACCGAGCATAAGAAGCTGGGCCTTGATGGACATAGCCGCTTTCCCTAACATGCTGCGCCGCAGGCTAGGTGACAAAGGTCTCTTAATGAGCATGTCGAGGAGTTCACAAGTGCCTTGTTCACGGTTTGCTTGTCCGCCTGCCAAGCTATGCAAAGCATAAATATGCACAAATCATCATTGATAGGGTCGTTGCTCTGTATCTCAGAGCCGATAGTTCGTCCGCTGATGGGTCTTTTACTATTGGTCTTGGAGATCTACCTTTCTTTGACTTTGCTCTTGTCCTTGATGATATATTATCTTCCTAGTATGGTAACTCGAATAATTGGTTACACCGCCTAGGGACAGCTCAACCTGCACCTTTTCCTTATTGTTTTCCTCTTTCTTCTCAATCCATCAATCGCATATCTCTGGTGATCCCAGTAGTGCTCATTCGCCACCATGTTTACTAGTTCATACATAATGCTTAGCCCCTGGCTATTTGCGTCAAGTAGTCTTTCTACTTTCCCACACCTTTTCCACCCAATTATATACCGCAAATCGTGCCGTGGAAGGATTTTCGGCATTCTAAGTATCGTAGTACGTCGCTTCGCTCCGCACGGAGGGTAGCTGGAGGCCGACGCCTCTCCTTTGAATCAGACCGTGTCCTTCATTTCGTCTCTACCACGGCGGGTGCAGTCAACAGATTCATTGGCCACAAAACAGCCCTACAAATCCTCGCATAGGTCCCAAACCCATGATGATCGCCTTGGATAACAGCGGCAACGGCACGCTTCGTGTCCCCGGTTTCGGCTCCATCCCCCTGGACTACGAGCTGCCGTCAGACGCCCGCTTTGCCCACGGTATCCAGGAGTGGCGTCAAGCTCCCGCCGTCACGGCGCGCGAGCTGGCGATGGTGGCCGTGATGAACCGTCTGACCGACCTCCCGAACTGGTATATCGACGTTTTTGATGATGCGATCGTCGCATGCTGGCGGCAAAATCCCGACGTGGCCTCGATCGCCACGAATCCACTGCTGAGTGACCGGGCTTGGGACTGGTGCTTGCGGGAGCTGCGTGACAAAGCCGAAGAATACCAGCGCCAAAGACATATCCGGGTGCTTGATACCGGGTCTTGTATTTGTAAGTCTGACGATGTTCCTGGGCTCCAAAAGGACACAGGAGCGCTGGCGGATGAAATCCAATCTGCGGTGAAAATCGTGCTTCAGAAAGGGAGCCAGTTCGGTTTGCTGGATTGGCGCTCGAAACGAAGATTGTCCATTGTCGATCCAATGCTATTTCCGCTAGTGTACGGGCGGAGTTTGGTCCTCACTGATGGAGGTCGAGTGGAGTTAGAGGATGTTTTGGGCGCATATTCAGGTGCGACAACAATTGCCCCAATGCACGTTGATTTGAGGACCGACGCGGCGGATGTGCAGAAGCGCATTGAGGAGGCGCAGCAGCTGCATCTTGGCGTGTATTCCGACACAGAAACAAGCCCCCATTATCGATGGAGCGCAAATTATCAGGCTCTACCTTGTGAGGTGGAGTTTGTCGGGGATAAAGGATCGACGCAGGTGCGCATTACCTCTTACATCAACAATTTGCACCCGGCACACCGGGACCTCTACCGTGCGATTGAGACGCTGGTGAGTCGGGCAATTCCATTGTGGAATGACTGTCTGGTGCAGGGCCAGCGCGGCTGGAGGGATATCCTGAATCAAGGCCAGTTAGGGCCGGTGCCACTGCGCATCATCACGTATGGAGCGGAGTGGGAGAATGAGCTCCCCGAATGGCTACTCGCCTTCCGAGTTCCTAGCAAGCACAGGAAGAAGCGGTACCGTCAAGTGCGGGAAGTGCTCCTTAGCAGCGAGGGAGATACGACGGACGAGGGCCGGAGAAGATACCGAGAGGCGCAAGAACTGCTCGAAGGACTTGCTGACGTGGAGGGAAACGAAGACAAGGAGCTACCTCCCCTAGATTCCAACCTCTGGCAACACGCGAAAGAATATCTTCAGCTCCCAGAAGGTGGATCGGCCACTCCCGTTCCAGTCCCAGACGACTGGCAGCAATTTCCCTGGGGGCATATCGAACGCAAGTTGCGGCGATTGCTGCACTTCCGCCATCCGGAACCGGGGACCTCGTTTTCCTACGATGAATGGAAGACGGGCCGTCATCATGAAAGGGCCGTGGTTGATATGGTCCGCGAGCGGAAAGATTGGCATCATATGCCCTACAAGCCAGTCACGCCCCCCCACAAGTACTATACCATCCGGCTCCAGGATACCTTCCGCGAGCATGGGTTACAAATTATTGTGAAAATGGAGAACATCGAACTCACCCCAGATAGTGGGAGTTACAAAGGAACGGACTGGCGGATGGAAGGCCAGCTCAATGAGCACCTCGTAGCCGCGGCTGTGTTTGCATACGATGTGGTGAATATCACCGAGCCCCGGATCGCCTTTCGTCAGAACACCAAGCTAGACGAAAGCTTCTACCAATACAGGGAGGACCGAGAGCAAGGGCGGAAGGAGAACCCACGCCGGGACGTGCCAGCGCGGCGATGTGGCAAAGACTTCTCGACAGAATTCGCAGCAGTTGCAGAGATTCTGGGGTTCTCGACTATCGACCTGGATTGTGATAACCACGCAGTAAAAACCTGGCAGGACAAAGGCACGGTCAGGGTCTCACAGGGGCGCTTGGTCACATTCCCCAACCTTCTAGAGCACCGTTACGAGCCCTTTACTCTAGCCGATCCTAGTCGGCCCGGACATTTTCGCTCCATCGCGCTGTACCTGGTTGATCCTCACTACCGCGTGTGCTCCACCCGCAACGTGCCGCCACAGCAACATCACTGGTGGGCACAGGCTGTCAGTCATGATCTGGCCGCGGCCGGATTGCCGCAAGAGATCGTCGACGAGATCATGCAAGGCACCGACAGCTGGCCCATGGGGTTGCCTGAAGCCCGACGGCACCGGCGTGAATTCTTGAAAGAGCACCGTTGGAACAATCTTGTCCGGATCCATCGCATGGATCATCCGTACTTTAACTGTTAATGAGCCATCAAATGACGCGCTGCGACGTTTACTGAAGAAAATACCCAGGAATGGCGAACACCGAAATCCACGGTAACAATTCTTAGATACCTCTGTAGATCAACATTACAAAGGACAAAAGAGTCTTTACAGTTAATTGGCATGGACATGACGCTACAGTGGGCACGCAATGAACATATATTAGTGCAAACGAGCTATACACTACGCGAGAAGGTGTCCGCTCCGTTGGCCTCCTCCCTATCTCGGTCACACGTTCATGTATCTTTTCATTCCGATCCCGAGGATGAGGACGTGCTCGAGTAGCTGAACTCGTCCTCACAATCGCTGGACGGCCAGGCCGGCGAAGAAGCGCCACTTGAGGGAAATTTGTCTTCAATTCCTCGCGTCAGGCTTGTAATGGAAGTTGCGAGTGACCTTACGATGTTGAGATGGTTATGGTCTGAAACCTCGCCGGCGAGAATGTCATGCTCATACGTTAGGGAGAACAACCGAATCTTCTCCTTAGCCGCGGCCCCTTCCGCGGCGGTTAGCTCACGATCTTCCACCGCGGTGTCGATCGCGGCGAGGGTCTCAGGCCACTTGAACCCGGAAGCGGTGACTTCCACAAACTGGTAAGCCGCGTCTCCAATGCGGTTTCTGAGTGAGGCTTGTTGCAATTCGAAGACGGCCGGAGTGCGGGCTGCCTTGACTTCCTGCGCCATTGCCACCGCTTGTTCCAGATCCTCTTTGCTCACGTTATCCCGAGCGAGAGCTTTGTTGGCGGCGCTAAGGACCGCCTGAAAAACGAGAGGAAATGATCGCGCATCGGCGTTGATATGGGGAAGCAGCAAATTCAATTTGTACCGCGCAGAGTGAGGCATGTTACTCGACAACCTCGTCACGGCGGCCGTACCTGGGTCCCGAGTGTGATCGGCTGCGTCGGGACGGTACGCGGCTCTCCAATCGTCATCCATAAGATATTTGGCGAATTCGTCGAAATAGCACATCTGGTCGCGTTTGGCACAGCCCGGGGCTATGGTTTTCTCGATGCCAGTGTCCCATTCCAGCTTATATACGTAGTAATAGTGCAGAAGCTCATAGGGGGCAGCCAGGTTATTGGCTAGCACGTTGGCCAACAGCACCGAGGACCAGACGAGAAGAAGGCTTAAGATATTCATAATGGCTGACCCGTCGGTTCCGCAAGAAGTCTGCAGGGTAAAATCTGACAAGAGAAGGATGGATGCTGCACAAGAAAAAAAAGAAGAAAGAAAGAAAGACAAGTGTAGAATAGAGAACGGTGGTTCAGACAGTGGATGGGAGCATCAGGATAGACTGTCAAGGGCGATGGATCCTCTGTAGAATCAGGCGGGCAAAGCGAGCGACTGGGAGATAATTCTGTAGGGAAAGGACAACAACAGGCGAAAAAAAGGTCAAGAGAAAGGAGAGCAGCCACGAGACAAGTCGGCAGTCCCTTGAGATCTCAATCTTTCTGACGCACAGGCAGGGCATTGAGAATCATACTAGCAGTCCCAGTCTCCTTCTCCCAGAATGTCTTCTTTGCCTGAGCACATCGCAGTTTCTCCCGCCGGATCAATCGGATGCACGATGCTCCTTATCTCCAAGTTTGAGAGCTGTTCATGTCGACAATCTGGAAATACGGACAATGATCCTTCCGTCCCCATGTGATATGGCCTGGCAGCGTCCCAGAGACAAAACAGTATACTGTCCCGGAGATTACATGCCAGGGATGGTTCGAAGTTGCAAATACTACTTCAGGCGTGCCAACTAGCCTTGTGTGGGTTAGTGGCTTGCCTAATACTTTGGCTAGGCGATCTGATAGTGCTTGTTGGTGCTTGTTAGTGCTTATTTGTGCTTGTTAGTGCTTATTTGTGCTTGTTAGTGCCTGTTAGGCTTTGAGAGTGCCTGAGAGTGTTTAGCCGAGCTCTTGGCCATCCCATGGACCATCATTCGGACCGGGGTCAAATCAGAGGTCTAATTTAGCGTCGGGCGGTCCTCCCGAATGGGAGATCGTCGACCCGCAGGCCTTGGGGCCTCAGCATTTAGTTCACAAACCCCCATCTGGCAGCTGCAGCCAGGCTCCCACGCTACTCTACATCAATCAAACTGACTCATGCATGCAGACCGATCCTGGAATTTATCCGACTTTCACCCTGAAATCCATGGGGCACATAGTTCGCTAAAAGGACATTAGCTACGGAGTAGCATACAGCCATAACCCTTAGGCATTGTGGATATCTATCATCCCGTAGTGAGCGATAGGGGTGGGCATCTCCGAAATTCCGGCGCTTGCCTCGAATGGCGAAGCAGGTCATTGTCGACGCGGTATTGCAACCCAAGACGAGCTGGAAATGAACGTGAATGAGCCTCGGGCCACGCTAGAGGCTAAGCAAATGTATCGCCGTGAGGGCATTTCCATCTCCCGGAGACTCACCAGACAGTGAGCTACGCTAACGCTTCGGAGAGCCCGCTGAAAGAGGCCATTTTCCTATTTATCCGTACTAGTAGGCCTGGTGTTACTTCACAGTTACAATATCACAGACGTGCAGCTTCATAGACTTAGAAAAAAAAGAGTAAATCTCCACAAATTAAAATTACACAGCCGATCTCCACAATGTATGCCTTTAGAATGGACTTTCGTGGGCTGAATTCCAAAATCGAGTGGATGCGAGTCAATGGGAAGCAGGCTCTGTGTTCCCTTCCCCTCCCCCTCCCCAGTCTTAGGAAATGAGGGCCCAGTTCAAGCGAGACATTAGAGCTGGGCGCTCCTCATATTTCCTCTTACTTGGCGGTGGCAGCGGCTGTAGCAGAAGCGCAGTAGGAACTTTCAAACGACAGGACGGTGGTTGCCACCTCGTTACCACACKCTGCATTCGAGCAGTCACGGATCCCGTAATAGAAGTTAATATTCTTGCAGAGACACGAGGGATCAGCACTGCTACACCCGAGGGACGAGTATTGGCCCAGCATGTTGTTGAAACAGGTCTGACCGCAGGCGGGGAGATCGGAGATCGCGGTGGGACTAGCGGAAGGAACGGTCGAGGTAGACGTAACAGTCGTGATGCTAGTCATGGGATATGTAGTTTCGGCGGCAATGGCCGACATGCAGTAGCCGCTCTCAAAGGCCAGGACAGTGCTAGCCACGGGAGTCCCGCAGGCGGCATTGGCACAGTCTCGGATGCCATAGTAAAAGTTGATGTTCCGGCAGAGGCAGGACGGATCGGATGTTGTGCAGCCGAGGCTGTCGTACTGGGCAAGCATGTTGTTGAAGCAGGTTTGCTGTGCGAGAACGGAATTAGCACGTAAGATACTCGAAGAAGAAGGGTCAACCCCCGGGTGGCACTTACGCCGCATGATGGGAGTTGCGCTATTGCGGTTAGGGTGGCGGTGCTTGTGGTTGAAATCGATGTGGTTGAGCCAGTAGAGGTTGTGGGAACGGTTGTTGTCTCGGGCACCGAGGTGGAGCTGGAGGGGGAAGTGGAGGAACCCGTAGGCGTGGACGAGGCCAACGCAGTAGCTCTCGTTCCATCGAAAGCCGTTGCGAAAACGATGGCCCCGTCATCCCCGGCGACGGTGGGAATGACGGTCACTGCACCCGTGGAATCGTAGCTCGTAATGTCCATCAGCACGTTGGGCCAGATACTGGAAGTGCAGACGGCCCCCAGTCCGGGCCGCGTTTTGTTCTGGTAATTGGGCGCGAAAACGCCATAGCCACTTTTTTGTCAAGGGTGGATCTTCAAGTCAGCTGGGTCTGGAGGGAGATAGGCATCCAAGTAGAAAGTCAATCAAGGCAGAGCATACCTTGGGCAACAAATGAGGTATGTGTCCGTGACATTGTACGTCTCCCAATCCTTCGGACAAACCAGCTGGGAATAGGGGGGCAAAATGGCAGTTGCCACCGCACTATAGGAGAACTGGCTGGGATAGCAGGATGAAAGAGTTAAGGTTGGAACTGGATTGACGATATTTTGCCAGAGCTCAGTTGACCACGAGGCCACCTCGGTCATACCGCCAGCGCATCCCGGCGGTTGGGTGAACACGGTGGTGAGCACCAACGGATCCCCAGGGGTGGTGGCAGTGGCCGAGGATGTAGGCAGAGGGGTTGAAGCCGACGAGGTCGCACCGGAGGATGAAGATGGGGTCAAACTCGTCGATGAGCTTGAACTAACTGGAGTAACACCAGGAGTGATGACGCTAATCGTCTCCAGCTGCCCGAAGGCAAGCGGTAAGACGCCCGATGCGAGGAGAACCAGTCGAGAAAATCTAGACATCTTAGGTAGTAGGGTGGGATAGCCGACAGAGAAGAAAACGAGACAGGAAGATAGGAACCAACGGTGAAAGAGAGCAAAACGGTTCTATGATCAATCAATTGATCGAGAGGGAGGGAGGAGCAAGAGTTTCACGATCGGTTGAATAAGTACCGTATGAACAGTACAACCAGAGGGTCTTCAATCTCCACATATTATCGGCCGGATAGGCCTAGCCTACCTTGGTAGTATCAACTTGATACTGTCGAGTAGCATCGGCGGAGGGGCCCCTTCATCCTCGATAGTCGCATCGCGATAGCGTGCCGGTCATCCTGCAGCCAGCTTCGGAGCATAGCCCCAATTTGGGATGTCAAATGAAGCGTGTCATGCGTGCATCTCCCCTCCCTGATGCAGCTAGACTGGCGAAAGGGATGCCGGAATACGCTCCCTTCGAGCCTCTCCATGGATATGATTCTCCCTTGGACTGGCGGTATTATAAGTTAGGGTTCATCTCCCCGTTGTGACTCGGGACCAGTCTGTATAACCCGGGGCTCCCTCGCCACACCCTTTCCTCCTCCGTCCATTTACCCGGTCACTCTTTTCGGCATTCATCGCTGTCACTCCTTGATTGATTCATCCATTTCGGTCAATGCTTTTTGGCCCTTTCAATTTGGTCCCCCGTGCCACGTTCTGTCGTTGAGCCCGACGCTTTGCCTGACCACTTATACGTTTTGCTCGTTCGTTCTAGAATGCTACAAAATGGCATATTTTCTACCGCAGACACTCTCTTTCTTGATGCTCTTTTCTTCTCTTCTCTGTCTCATTGCCGCCTCGCCAGTCGCGGATCCTCCTTTTCATCTGTGGCATCAGCGACGGGCTCTTGCCAATCCACCCACGCCACGCTCCCTCAATCTCTCAAGCAATGAGCTGCAGCAGGCTCAAGCGCTCGTGGAAGCTGCTGTGGCTCAGCAATCCAAGTACAATGCCTGGCGAGTGGCCAATCCCAAACGCAATACGTATCGATCGCGCCACTCCGATGCTTCGCAGCCCTCGGCCCAGTTTAAAAGGTCTGACCAGCCGATGGCGCCCGTGTTAAACCCCCGCCTCAAAGCAGCAGCTGCGATCCTGGCTGAACGCCACGCAGCACAGCAATTGCGGAATGGTACTCTTCACAAAAGTTACAGTCAGTTCACCAAGCCACCCAAGCCCTTGCAATTGGCGAAACGGGAGATCGCGGAGTCGTCATCTAGCTATTGGCCCGCCCTGGTCGACCATGGACGCCCGCCCATGGGATGGGACTCATCCTACCCGGTCTATCGAGATGTCACCGATCCCAAATTTGGAGCAAAAGGTGATGGAGTGACCGATGACACCGATGCCATCAATGCCGCAATCTCATATGGCGGGAGCTGCCAGGAAAATTGCGAGTCGTCCTCGACAAAGGGCACGTTCATTTATTTCCCCCCGGGCACCTACCTCATTTCTTCGCCCATCAATGCTTCGTACTACTCTCAATTGGTGGGCGATGCAAATGATCTTCCGGTCATCAAGACCTCCCCCTCGTTTATTGGCCTGGGAGCGATTCAGAGTGACGTCTATATCCCCAACGAAAATGGAGATGAGTGGTACATTGAAGTAGGTGGTCTCTTGACAAGAACCTTCTCTGGACATGAGAACTGACCCTGTCATTTCCAGCAATCTAACTTCTATCGCCAAGTCCGAAACTTCATCATTGACATTGAAGAAACAACTACCGCCAACGCGGCTGGGCTACACTGGCAGATTGCTCAAGCCACCTCACTCACGAATGTGTTCATCTCTGCCAGCTCGGCGGCTGGAACCACGCAGATGGGCATCTACACCGAGAACGGCAGCGGGGGATTTATGTCAGGCTGCACAATCTCAGGCGGATCATACGGCATCTATGGTGGTAACCAGCAGTATACAGTTCGTGATTTTCAGATCTCCGGTCAAACCAACGCGAGCATCGGCTTAATCTGGGACTGGGGGTGGACCTGGTCCCAATTGCATCTTTCTAGCGCACCCATTGGAATCAGTCTGATCAACCCTCAGGATACCTCTGGCCAGCCAGCCGGATCCACCTACATTCTCGACACCATGTTCGATGAAACCCCCATTGCAATTCAGGCGAGCTTCAACCAGTCGACTATCCTGGATTCCAGCATCATCACCCTGGACAACATTGGGGTCAACGGTGTCAAAACGATGGTCGCCTTCACAGATGGCACGAGCCTTGACCTTCCTAATGGTGACGTAGACTTTGTGGTCATTGGAAACCTCCAGGAACAGTCCGACAAGTCCCTTGGGTCCTACCAAGTGAATGTGCAGGATCCCCCGCCACCTCTTTTAGATGCTGCCCAGGACCAGATTATCTACCGAGACTCGTACTTCTACAAAAACCGCCCCCAGTATGAGACACTCTCTCTCGGCAGCATTGTCAGCGTCAAAGACCATGGCGCTGCCGGTGATGGAGTCACGGACGACACAGCGGCTATTGTCGCCGCTTTGGCCATGGCTACTACCGACAATCTCATCTATTTCCCGCCCGGTTCCTACATTGTCACTTCCACTATCGTGATCCCGGCTCACGCCCGCATCACCGGTCAAGTGTGGTCTCAGCTCGTGGCCTCGGGCGACTTTTTCGCTGATATGACCTCCCCCAAGGTCATGATCCAAGTTGGCAAACCGGGAGACGTGGGGACGGTCGAGATCAGCGACATGCTTTTTACCTCCATTGGGGAGCTGCCGGGATTGGTGATGATGGAATGGAATGTCCAGGCCGAAATACAGGGCTCTGTGGGTATCTGGGATTCGCACTTTCGTGTGGGTGGTGCTTATGGCAGCAAGCTGCAGCTGGCGGAGTGTCCCACCAGCAACTCGATTGCGTCGGGCTGCGTGGCCGCGTCCCTGATGTTACACATCACCCCAGGATCCAACGGCTACTTTGAGAACATGTGGCTATGGGTGGCCGACCATGATATCGACGACGCAGCCAACACGCAGATCACCGTCGGGGTGGCGCGAGGGATGCTGGTCGAGTCGACGTCGGGTCCAACCTGGATGTATGGCACTGCCGCGGAGCATGCGATCCTCTATCAATACAACTTCTTCAACACCACAAATACCCTCGCCGGCATGATACAGACCGAGTCTCCCTATTATCAATTTGCAGAGGCAACGGAGTCCCCCGGGCCCTTCAACGCGTCGGTAGGCCTGTTTGAGAACGATCCGGCGTTTCCAGATGTGACCTGCACCGCGTCGCCAGAGCTCTGCAATTTCGCGTGGGCAGTGATCATGAACGAAAACACGAACCTGACCATTGCGGGCGCGGGCCTTTATTCCTGGTACGACAATTATGTGGAAACCTGTGTCGACACCCAGAATTGTCAGCAGCGGATCGTCTGGGACCAGGGCGAGAATCAGGGGCTCTACATGTGGAATTTGATCACGATCGGTGCCGTGGAAATGATCAGCAACACGGACGACAGTAATATCATCCTGGCGGCTAACAACACGCAAGCCGTGGGGCATCCCTTTTGGAGTGCCCTGGCAGCCTATCTCGATGACTACGCGCAGCCGATTCTCTCCTGCGACGATGACTCCACCGACCCCGCATGTCAAGCAAGCTGGAAGTGCGACTTGACCCAGCAGTACGCCACGGTCGATGCGCTCAACGCAGCACTGGGTAGCTATCCGGATCAATGCATGCCTTACTACGCGCTCGGCACCCTCTATACCACCTTGAACGCCTCTCTCGCTAACTACACGGAGACCAACAAGGACTACGACGAGTATTTCGGGTACTACCAGGAATACGTCCGAGACATGGTCCCTGACGCCATTAGTGCCTTCATGGCCGGGTCGACGCCCAGTCAGCCTGAGGGGGGCCCAGGCAACAAGTACTTCGACTGCACCTGCGAGGGTTACGGACCTACGTCGACGCAGCAGTGCCCGTTCAGCTACAACCAGCTCATGGGTGCGGACCGTTTCACCATGACATACACACTCAAAGACGCCGATGGCTTTTACAATGATCTCCAGAGCACGTACGGGATCAACCGGACCTGGGTGACCTTCGGCAACCAAGGGGGGCCCGTACACCAGGTTGGCCACTGCACACCGGGGCCCTGCTCGGAAGGCACCGACTACCGTTACGTTAACATCCCCCAGGCCGTTAATTCCAACCAGATCAACGTGGGCAACCCCAAGGACATCATCACCGCGGCTTTGCCCGGCATCGGCACCATGCAGAACAACCTCCTCGCGCGCGAGCTAGACATCAACCTCGGCGCCTGGGGCGGCGGCATGCAAGATCTGCTGGACACCTTCTCTCTGCCTGTCTTTATGCTGCAACAAGCGATCGCCTCCATGGCCAGCGTTAAGGCCATTGGCCAGAAACAGGCCAAGGAAGACAAGATCAAGCTCGCTCTTGAAATTTTAGGTATCGCCTTCGCTTTCGTCCCTTTCCTCGATGAACTCACCCCGGAAGTGGAGCTACTCGACGGTGCCTTCGAGACTGTTGCTGCCGCCGGAAATGTCGCCCTAGGCATCCAGAGCATTGTTTCAGATCCCAGTTCCGCCCCCATGGTTCTCCTGGATCTGATCGCCGGTGGCGGGCTGCGGGACGAAAGCGACTTCACCAAGGCCGCCGCAGCCCGCCGCGCAGTGACCGAGGATGACCTGGAGAGTATTGGGAAGGATTTCAAGGCCGAGCAGGACAAGTTTGATGGCCTCACGGAGCCAAAATGTCGCTTCTAGGATTGGGACTTCACCCGTTTTGGCCGCTTGTTCTGAGGTTAATTCTAGTATGGTCATCACGATGGAGGCCATTGCACAGGTTTCAGTCACCACGGGAGCCTTTTAGGGTCCATCTTCTTGAAAATTCTGCATGCCGTTAATGAGGGCTCCCTAAGTGTATAAGCTTTTAGAAACATTGGTCGTCTTTTCGCTAAAGACTAGTATGCCACGTCCGGCCTACCCTTGCGCATCCTTAAATGGTTTCTTCGATCACAGGTAGTCCCAGTTAAAGTACTCCTAAGCCTAAGGGTTAAGAGGCCATGCTCCCTATCACAGCCCTCTCTGAGGCTTGCATAATATCCCGGTCTAATAATTCTATAGCTTTCTGGTGTTCCAGATTTCTTCGGGGCATCCCATTTCCAAAACGCACCTAGGTCATAAATTATAGATTACACAGATATCCCTGGAAACGTTACTTTCTTTATTCCGATGGGAATCAACCCCTTCAGGTTATTACGAGTGGCAGGTTCGTCGGGAAAATGCTAAGTCTCTAATAATCTGGTCGAATATGTGAAGCGTACCAACCTTGTTAACTCGGACTGGGCGAAGCAATATGCTATTGACCTAGGTGTGAAAAGCTGCACGATTATACAGTCCTTAATTGCTTTCGTTGGTCTCTCCAAGTCCGACTCATGAGTTGGCACACCGAGCCTCGGCTGACCCGCCTTGGTTATTCTTAAAGGGTTGAATTTGAGGATACCATGGCAAATGAGATGATAAAAGCTCGCCAGATGTCCTATCAGTAGAAGAGGGTGGGGAGATAACGGCGCAGAAGTCGAAAGACGAAAGTAGTCCGTCGGCAAAGCTCTTCAAGTTCCTCTCGTCTCTCTTTCTCCCATCTGCCTTTATCTTCGGCCTACTTCTATCTTTCTTCGGCCTTCTTCCTCCTCTCTTTTTCCTGCTTGAGCCCCTCTCCTGCCCGCAGAAGGAGAGCCTTATATCTGGCGAGTTGTTGTCCCCGCTATTAATCTGTCAGAGGGGGGAATAGTGTGAGACAATCGCGACATGTGTTGATTGATGGGTACCTTATTCAGGAGGCTGATTTTCCGGTAGTATTTCTCTGAGGAATGACGTGTATCTTGAAGTATGATATGTTCATCAATGCATCTTCTGAAGGGATTCCGAGGAATGAAGCTTGAACATAGGTCTGAACTTGTTCGTTCATGTATTTCTGGAAATTGCTAGCATAGATATAGCCTATTACTTGCTGCAGCAAGAGAAGGGATGCCGTTTCTGAACACATCGTCAAGAATTACCATTGTAAGCACAAGGACATCCCTGATTGTCTACCATGAGCACCCTGAGGGAAGGGTGAGCAGATCCCTGAGCAACCATGAGTGCTCAGGGAGCAATCCGTGATCACTCAGTGATTACTCCGTATTCTGGGAGCATCGTGGCCGAAACAGATCATGGGCGTGTTCGATGACTAATATTCTGGGTAAAAGGACGCTTAAAATCGCGGGAGTAGCCGTTTTCGGCGCCCAATTTACCATTACCTATCGTTGTAGTGTAATCTTTCCCTTAAACAGTACCTATTTTAAGTCTTTGAGTCTGCTATACAAATCCTAGCGTCCTATGATCTTATATCCTGCCAATTCTCTCCATTACTCTGTTAAGACACTCATTCACCACAGCCTGATATGGCACTCTAGGCGAATATTGAGTACAAGCTAGAATTGAATAGATTGGAAAATAGATACATGTTACAATAAACTTTGACTACTTACACACCTGGCGGATGATTAGATCTAATTACTGACCAGGGTTAATAATGTAGCCCCGATAAGAGTAGGAAAAGGGTGTGGTCATAGCCCATCTGGTATGGCTCTCTTGCTCCTATCCAAAGAAAGGAGATGTATAACCTTATCCATACCATTTGTCCGCCACGGGTATTCGGCATTATTATTGATGGACAGCATTTGCCGCTTAGCATGGACCATTTAGCCTGGATAATCATGGACCAAATCAGGACGTGCTGGATAAACGAACCAATCTGCACTAGTTCCTTAGTGAGGAGGCAGTAGGGAAAGGAGCGGCCATGGCTCAGTAGTGATCGAGGCTCTAGCTCAAGGGATGTTGTTCCTTCAGGGTCTAATTATGCATGTCTTTGGTTTCGGTCGGATAAATAAATACTTGTGCTTGCTGTAGCTCTGAGATGCTCACAGAATGATATTATCACCAGATCATCACAGTGTGGCCACACTCTTGATGCAGACCATTGCATTGGCTGCAGAAGGGCGGATGAAGCCGCCGTGGGGAAAGTTGGAGTCTTGGAGACGGATTGGCTTATCAAGCCTCAGGCCTTCCATCCTCCAATTCGGCCGACCTCGTCAGCCTTGTTTAATCTCCTTTAATTAAACCCATCTCTCGTCCTCCACGACCCTGTAACTGGGGCGATTTTCTCGTCAGAGCAGAATGAGCGGTCTAAGACCGGATAGAACTAGACCTCAACTCTATCATCATCTTTATTCTCCTTGACGCTGCTTGATTTTCTCTCCCCTTGTATTTCCTCGCTTCGTTTCCCGTTCGTCCCATTCCTCTCCCTTCAACAAGCACAGCAAACACGTCCGAATCCTGCCGTGCCGACCGTTCATCTACTAGTTACTGACAGCTCGATAAACCATCAATGGACCCCCGCATTCCGGGTCCATCCTGCTGATTCCTTGACGATCACCCTCCTTGCTTCCGCACGGCGGCAACGGTTCCCAACACCGATTTTGGGATCGCGGGCATGGAGCCGGCATGTCAACCCCCGATTCGCAAATCCGAGTCGACCTCCGCCGCTGCTCCCAGGAAACGACGAAAGAGGACCGTTGTGAGTGGTGCAGCGGATGACTGCTTCACATGTGCCCGGGAGGGTACAGTCTGTGACCGACGACGGCCATATTGTTCGCAGTGTTTGAACCGTGGACGGGATTGTGCGGGATACAAGACCACGTTAACCTGGGGTGTGGGTGTTGCTAGTAGAGGCAAATTTCGAGGACTGTCTCTCCCAATCACTGGAGCGCAGCCAGCTGCGACTGGAGATAGTCGTCGTCGTTCCGGGGGCGAGGAGAATCCGTCGGAACAGCCTGTCGCATCGCCAACTACATATACCTTTGCCTCTGATGCATCACCGGTCAGTGCATCCGACAATGTAGAAAGAGCCACTTTCCAATCGCAGGGATCGCCGAGTCCGGACACCAATGAGACTGCAAGTTGGATGCGAACGGGCGCGGACCCGCGAGTCTGGCCGACTCCAGCGGCTGATTTCTCGTTTGGAAATCCGGCAGTTGTTGACACTAGTTCTCCTTATACAGAGTCGCTGAGACACTCGATCCCGACGAACTCTTCGTTACAATATATGCAGACAGTCCAAGTGGCGAATCATCACTCTTCCCTTCAAACCAATGCTTGGACAGAAAGCTGGCCAGCGTCAACCACTTCTGCGTTCGAACAATGGCAGGTGCTACCAGGCTGTACTGCTTCACAAACTGAAGACACTGAAGGAGCTGGCAACAGGTCAACGGATTCAGAGCCCTCCGGCGATCCTCGGCGGATTGCACGCCATTCCCCTTCATTTTCTCAAATGCTTCTTGCACGATCGGTTGGCCGCACACCCCGTCTGAGATATTTGATAAGCTACTATGCGGAAGTCATTGCGCCGGTCATTGTAGCTTTCGATAGCCCAACGAATCCGTTCCGCACTCATATTCTGCGTCTAGCCCAGGACAGCGAGTCCCTGCAGGAGGCCATCGCAACCCTGGCCACTAGCAATCTGCGGCAACGACGAGAGAGAAAGACCATGCCGACAGACAGGACGCTCCCTTCACGCATGTCATCCTTGGCACATCGAGCACTGACCGATGGAACCTGCCAAGATTTTCAGGAGACTTTAACGGCTGAAGGATTCGCCCGCGAGGAGCAATACCATCGAGGTTTGGCAGTGAAAGCATTGAATATGGAGCTCGCCGACCCGCATCGAAGGATGTCCGATTCCGTTCTGGCAACCTTATTCATCCTATGTCTCTTTCACGCCTGCGATACTGGCGTGGCGCAGTTCAAAACGCAACTCGCAGGTGTGACCAAGCTTCTGGCCCTCCGAATGCGCAGCTCGCCGGTCCTCTCCGATGAGTTGAAGTGGTTCATCCGCGTATTTACCTGGTACGACACGATGGCTGCCACGACCAATGATCGCGAGATACAGCTGCGCGGCTCGTGCCTGGATATTGCTGCAGTCTCCGACAGCGAATGGGGCCTTGAGAATCTGACTGGCTGTGATGCCAGCTTATTCAAGTATATTGCACAACTCGGTCGCCTGAATCTTCTGAGCCAGAAGCAAGAGGTCAGCACGCCCGCTCTTCCTGAAGTGTTTGTTCCCACAACATCTCTGCCACCATCGCTACTCTTCGACGCATCGATGGCCACCGGTATTCCGGGAATGAACGCCTCCTTCAGCTTTACCATGCCAATACAGTCACAGTCGGTTGAGCGAAGCAGCCGATCTTTGTCGCCAGCGTTCTGGGCCGAGTGGTTCGCACTCCGGCAGCAACTGGAAGCCTGGCGACTTCCGCCCTCGCGATGGGAGTCCACATCACCGCGTGGTTCAGTTCATGTCTCAACTCCTTCTTCCGCTCATGCCTACATCTCTCCACCATCCTCGCCATCTACGCAATATGCTGTCGCGCCTCAAAACATTGATGACGTATTCCACATCTCGGAATCCTTTCGCCATTCGGCAATACTCTACAGCGAACGACTCGCCTACCCAGAACTTCCTTCGAGTCATCCTCGTATTCAACACCTAGTGCACCGTGCGATGCACCATATTTCACTGGTCAAGTCGGATGTGTACCTGCTATGGCCGCTCTTCATCACCGGATCGGAGTGCGTACTCCAGAGCCATCGAGACACAGTTCGACAGCGCTGCAGAGATATCTCTCAAGACTCTGGTTTCTTCAACAATCTAACGTGTCTTGAGT